CAAATGATCGCAGGATTCCCTCAGACGTGTCCCAAAGGGCCAATTCCCACCTGTCCGAATTCTTTTTCCCTCTGTTTTTTTCCCCTTCCTTATGCGTGTCATCCCTCCCTTATCCGACTTCTCGATTTCTGGCCATAGGATATGCAGTGCAGATCGACGGTCAGAAACAGAAATGAAGGATCCGGCCAAGTGGAACCTCGTCCCCGTCTGTGCCCATGTTCTGTATTGCCACGCACGTTACAGTAGGAGGGGGGCTGAGAGAGACACGTTACCCCTCTATTTTTCATTTTTTCCATTTCGCCCATGCGATTTATTGGGTTTGGGGTTGTGTCTACTGCCTTGATTGATTGGGGTTTGGTGGTGTCTACTGCCTTGATTGGGTTTGGGTTGTGTCTACTACCTTGATTGATTGGGGTTTGGTGGTGTCTACTGCCTTGATTGTCCTCATCACGACCTGAGGCCCCACTCCGCGTGACCGCGAACCAATCACGTCACCGTCCTGTGATGCGATGTGTGACACGACCTGAGGCCCCGCCGGCCCATCTCCGGTCTGGTGCAACTCCCCCTCGGTAAGTGTGTGGAATCCGCCCCGCTCTTCCTCTGCCCTTCGCTATACCTCTTTCCTCATCTACCTCCACTCCAGCCTCCCCGCTCTTCCTCTGCCCTTTGCTACCTCTCACCTCCCTCATTTATATCCTCTCCAGCCTCTCTGCTCTTCTCCACTCTGCCCTTTGCCACCGCTTACCTCATCTCTCTCCTCTCCATCCCTCATCTGGAGGGCCTCGCTGGTCGCAATTAGCTGGCTGGCTACTTGCCCAGAGACTCCTATCGTCGTCGACCTTGAGTGCGTCCTCGGCGTGGTCATTTTCCTGTCCCGACCCGTCCCGACACGTCCCGACCCGTCCCGTCCCGTCCCGTCCCGTCTCGTCTCGTCATTGCTAATTATCAGGATGAAGCCACTGTTGCCGTTAGCTTTTCCACGAGGCCCATCTGGCCCCATTCTGCGTGTTTGTGGTAATCATCGCTTAGTAGGAGGAGGCAAAGGCGAGGGGGAGGAGAGGAGCGAGGAGGAGGAGGAGGAGGAGGAGGAGGAGGAGGAGGAAGAGTAGTAGGAGAGGAAGGTAAAGGAAGACGAAGATGATGACGAAGAAAAGGAAATGGAGGAAACGTGGGTACAAGACAGGAGCTGTGCGGCGCACGTTCACTGTGGCGAAGAAGGGCTGCATGAAGTAAAGGGGCGGCAGAAGAATAGCAGGAAGTGGGAGCCGGCGAACGTACCCTTGCCACAAGGGGATGCTGGGGGCCACAGAGAGAGAGAGAGAGAGAGAGAGAGAGAGAGAGAGAGAGAGAGAGAGAGAGAGAGAGAGAGAGAGAGAGAGAGAGAGAGAGATTTTCTTATGTTATTGTATCTGGACGGGAATCAAGCAAGTAGAAGCGGAAAGAGTAGCTAGTACGAGGAGGATTTGGAGGTGGCAGGAAAAATCAATGGAAATATAATAAAAAGAACTGGATGCATGGAATCTGGGCGACCTCATCCGGGGGGTGGGAAATTGAACGAAAAGAGAAGGCTCACCCACTCCTCGCTGCCACACCGGAATGACGAAAAAACTTCGAAATGATCCTCCTCCCCGCCCCCTCTCTCCGATAGATGGCCCGCGTGAAGTGGACGTACCATGACCATAAAATGAAAATCAAAAGTGGACACGAGCAGCTGGTAAACGAATGATGTATGATTTTGTTTTCTGTCGCAACCAGCGAAACTGTCTTTATTTGAGTAGTGACACCTACTCCGGATGAATCAAGTCGTATTTCAAGTTTCAGTTCTTCTCTGCAAAATCCATGTACCCTTCAATTCATATATATGTATATATAGGCACAAGAATATCAGAGCGCAAATGCGAAAAAAAGGAAAAAAGGAAAAAAATGAAAAAAAGAATGAAAAACAGGAAAAAATGAATTCATTTTTTTATCTTCATCCTTACAGGACTCCCCCTGTTCAGAACCTCTTGCGTACAAGGCCGCCCACGTGGATGTAGGTTGAGCGGCGGCTGCCCCCACCCCCGTGTGTCCTATCGACCCACTTGCACACAGCCAAAAGGCAAAGAGGCAAAGAAAAGAGGAAGGCAACAGCCAAATAATACAGAACAGGGGGCACGAAACAGTTTGTCACAGCCCCTCGTTTGTTGTCCTCTTCTCCCTCTCTGCCTACGGTTTACCGGGCAGTTCTATTTGACGATATATAGATTATTATTATTGTTTTAAATTTTAATATAATAATAATAATAATATTTTTTTATAGTAATAATCAGGGTTGCCGGCGTTCGGGACGGGCCGAACGCCCGAACCCGAACGCCCGAACGTACGGGACCCCTTCGAAAGGACCAAAAAAAAAAAAAAAAAAAAAAACAATTTTTCAAAAAAATCCGAAAAAAACATATGTTATGGAGAAAAGTAAACTAAACAACATTTGCCTGGGCACTACATCCAAATGCTTTGCCAAATTTGAATTAAAAATCAAATACAGAAACTAAACACTATGATAAAAGTAAGAAAAAATAAAAAGAGAATTAAAATGAGTGAGTGCGCCAGCACCTTTTCGACACCGCCATCTTTGTCGATATTTAATTATTTTTTGCCATTGACAAATGCCCTGAAAATTTAGAGATATGTAGTTTACATAATGAATAACTCGTTAAAAAATTTTCAAAAAATAATAAAATTTGTTAGGCCCCGAAATAAAGTGAAAACAAAAAATAAAAAGTGAAAAAAAACAAAATAGTGAGTGGGCGAGCACGTTTTGACACCCCCATCTTTGACGATTTTTAATGTTTTTTTGGCTTAGCAGAATGGCTTCAAAATTTATAGGCGTGTAGGTTACATCATAGAGAACTCGCCAAAAAAAGTTCAGGAAAAAAAACTTGTTTTTAGGACCCGAATTTTTTTTTGGCGGGGGCCGAACCTGGAGGTGTTCGGCCCCCGAACGGGACTTGGAACGCCCGAAGGTTCGGGGGCCAGCCCGGGGCCCCCCGAACGTTCGGTCAGGTAACCCTGGTAATAATAATAATAATTTTTAATAGTAATAATAATAATTATTACTCCTTTGACCAGGTAAGTTAGATACATACTGCCGCTATTTGGACATATCGTGAACCGAAATGGGCAGGCCCTACCAGGTCCCCGCCCAAAACAATACCGTATTGGAGTTTTTTTTTATTGAATTAGGTGAACGCGTAGAAGTTAGAGCAACGACGAACCGATTTGGAATTTCAAGAAGCTTCTTGGACCGGCAGATTGAAATTGGATTTTTTTTAAATCAAATTAGGTGAACCCGTCGAAGTTGGAGAAATGGCGAACCGATTTGGAATTTTGTGGAAGCTTCGTGGAAGCTTCTTGAACCGGTAGAATTGGAATCTGCCATGTAGTCGAAGCGCTTTAGATTCTTGTAGAAGCTTCTTGGACCGGTAGTTCTAAATTGGACATCGTGTGAACCGATATGGACAGGTATTCTAGAAACTTGGACAGACCCACTGTGCCCTTCGTCAAAGGACTGAACGATTTAGACTGACGAGCGCATAAATTGGTGGGCCCCACAGAAACTCGTGTATCGCTCACGTGTGCTTACCTGCATCCATCACCGTGCATTCACTTCCGTCGAGCATCGAACCACTGGCCTTGTGCGGTCACGATTGTGCGTTCGCGTGCCTTGTGCGTTCACGTGCCCAATACAGTATGCCCGCYAGAGGCAGGAGAGGCAGGKACAACCSCATTGACGATGTTCAGAGGCGAAAGATCATCGAGTCTATCTTCGTTGARGGCAAAACGATTGCAGAGACTGCAGTACGCTATGGCTTTCCACGCAGTACTGTGCACAACATCGTTATCGCGTTCGAGGCTTATGGCTCAGAGACGACCAAGAGGAGAGGAGGGAATGTGTTTCCTGTTCTCRGCGAACAGCATATTCAGTGGCTCCAGCAACAGCTGGATTTGAATCCAAGCTGCACGATCCAGGAGCTTTGCGACAAACTCAATGCAGAGTTTGAGTTCCGACRGCCAGTTACACTGTCCACTGTCTCTCGAGCCGTTCGTGGCCAAGCAGGTTACTCCTTGAAGCTGCTTCACAGGGAGCCTGTTGATTACAACTGCGAAGAAAGATTACGGGAAC